AACATTGAAATTTCTCTCACGTTGTTTGGATAGCCTACGAGTCGAAATTATGATTGATGTCTGAGAAGGAAACTGACACAAGAGTGGACGATCTGTACTGCCACACAACGTTTATCAACTGAAGGGTGACAAATGGTGTCCTTTACCGGATCACTTCTGACGCAAATGGTGCACCACTATCTTAACAACTTTGGTGGTAGGTATAAAAAGTGGAAGAAGCAAAACTGCTGACCGCACACTTTCATTGACTACATGACCTGATAGTGGTATAGTGCTTTGAAGAACTCAAAATATACATTTACTGGGGAAGATGGGTATTTGTGGGGCAAATAAATAAGTAATGAGGAGAGTCGGGATTCCCCAGTGTTTGGAATATTAACAAAAGTGATTAAAATTTAGGTAAGGCGTCACAATGGTGGCAAGAAATTGAGATTCGCGTTACAGTAATAAGACTTTTTTAAGGTGTTCCATAGTAGCCTTTTTTCATGTTTAACCAAGCAGAACTCTCATTGTCTGGTTAAATTTCCACTTTGGCTTCACGGACAGGTGGCTACTGCACTTTGACAGCCGCCCAGTTCCATGCTTCGCGAGAGAGACTATTCAAAACTGAAGAGATGCCACTCGGAAAGGTGCGTGCTGCAGAGCTGTCATGGACATGCAAATGAAGCAAGCCCTCCTCCACATCATTTTTAGAAGATGAGAACGAAAAGTTGCAAGCTAAAATAGACGTGAGACGCCATCCTTTTTCTATGGCTCCGCCTATGGGCCCGTGTTCTCATCGTTATCGAAGTACATGCGTAGATGGTCTGCAGATTTTCCTTCATCGAATTTATTTTTTAAATGGAATGAACTATTTGATTTAGTGGGGTTGTCAAAGGAGTCAGTGTTGCTGTGGTTGGCTCGTTGTTGTCTTCGCCTATAGCACCGACCACGTTATGATTGCCAACACGGGATGCTAGCCAATAAGAGCGTTAGGGACGACGCCCAACAGGAAATCGGAGCTCTGATTTTTTGTTTAAGTCTATGGCATGATTTTTAGTGCACTTAAGACCCCGTCTTCATACATTTGTTGAGCAGGTTAGTCTTCGAGTGGCGTCAAGTGGCTTTCGTACTCTCTGTACGTACTACGCTCATTGTCATGGCTTCATTCGTCCCATGGGAGGACTGTGAGAATTACGCGGGCCACCCCTTAATGACCTCACACGTTTGGTTTCAAGAACATCAGTGCACAGTATAACACATAACCTCAATCAAATCAGTTGCTCGACTAGATAACAGACAATGGAAAAGAGGAGATAGTACCGCAATTACGATGAAGGACGATGAGAGGAAAATTTATGAAGTAAAATAAGCCCCAAAACTCGACAGTAAGATAGTGAGTAAATTTAAAGGAATTATTAGGGAGAATGAGCGTACCCAAGGCAAGCAAAATCGTTTGTTGCGTTCCAGAGCTACCACCTGCAGTACCCCTTTGTTTCCCCTCAACACAGGGGTTCCCGACTTTGGATTGCGACTCCACTGGGTTACTACAATCACGATGGAGTGATTGGGGCCCCAGTGAGGAAGGAGGCCCTTTCCCAAGAGCCCTGTTCTCCCCATGGGATTTAGGGGAGCTCCAGTGTTGGGGTCCAGTCTGTAGCGACCCAGAAGGCTCTGGCGACGAATGTGATTCTTCGAGTCGTAGGTATTGAAGGGAATGCTTCGAAGGATGGCTGAACTGCCGAAACTGACACCATGTTGAAAGCTGCGTGGGGAAAGAGGGGAAAGGTCAGTGACCAACAGTTACATTAATAACTGAAATTACTTTGTATTTCAAGACTTTACTCACTTTTCTCCATCGTGAGCTGTCTCGTCTGGATAGAGCACAGTCTCCTCTGACGAATCGTAAGCAAAATAATCGGGATATCGTGTCTAGATTAAGCAAAGAAACTTCTTGAAAGAGTGGTCTTTTTAATTTTGAATGAGGAAAAGGTGATAGCCTTTTGCGGCGCAGAATGGCGGGCCGTTTAAATATTTCCCAAGGCAGTCTAGTTATGCAATTTATGCCTCAGCCAACACAAACAACTTGATGCAAACTATGAAGAAGCCAAAAGTAGAGTCGCGACATCCTTAAAGGACTATCCAACCTTTCACAGTGTTTCCTCCTTTTCTAAGGCCACTTCAAAAACCTGCGTCCCCAGACGGTCCGCTTAGAGTATTCACAAAAT